CACAATTAGAGTTCACTGTAATCTGAAACTCTTGGGCTCAAGCAATCCTCTTGCCTCAGCCACAATGTCCAACTAATTTTTTCATGGAGACAGGGTCACACTTTGTTGCCTAGGCTGGTCTCAAACTCCTGGGCTCAAGGAATCTTTCCACCGCTGTCTCCCAAAGTACTGGGATTACAGGTGTGAGCCATCGTGGCTAGTCCTGATACAAAATTTATGTCTTCTTTTTCACTTAGCATGATAAACAGAAGTGTTTCTCCGGTTACAGATGTATTAAACTATTTATAAAGGCCATTATTATTTTTGATCACTCCATAATTTTTCATGTGAGAAATTTGCCACTTATTCACTCCTTTATTACTAGACATTTGGGTTGTTGTTTTCTTTTTCCTTTATAAACAACATAGTAGTGGGCGTCTTTGTGCCTCAGGCCTCCTCTGCACATCAGATCATCTCAGCAAGGTAGAATCCCAGCAGGCATTCTAGTGACTCAAAAGTTTTAGGTGCAGTCTACAAAATTACTGTATGACAAGTATTAATACATGATGCTGATATTTGCATTAGCAAAAGCTGCTTATTGGATGTCTGAGTTGGGCAGCATTTGGTAGGCTTATTTTTATTCTTTTAAATTCTTTCAAGTGATTAGAAACTTTAAAGAATCTTAATCAGTAGGTGAAAGAAAATCTGGCGCATATTTAAGGCTCTTTGTATATTAAATAGCTGGGCAATATTTTTAGTAATCATACTGATGTTTTACTACTACATGTGATTTGCTAATTTTTAAACTAAGACCTATAGTAAAAATTTTTTCCATTTGAATCCAAATTTGTTTCATATTGATAAACACACATGAAACAATATTTGTCTTTATGCATTTCATATTGTTATATTCTGAACTTTTCTTTTTCATTCCATTTTTTTTGAAAAGATGAGCCATGATCCTCTAAATTGATTTCATAATCTCCTAGAGGTTCCAAATCATAGTTTTAAAAGCACTGTACTGTACTGTGACAGGGAGTGAATTCAGTGGAACACATGGCTTGTTTCCCTGACTGCCTTTACTTTTCCTGCGTGTGGGTGGGAATCTTGTACTCTTTATCCTGGCAGTACCTGAGTGAGACATAAGGAAGCTAAGTACCCTGCCCAATGGCACGCAACTACCAGTGGTCAAGCTTGGACATGGCCACTTCTGGGTGGCCCCCAGATCCAGGGTCTCACAGCCCAGCAGCATAGAAGCCACTCCAGCTTCTGTTGTCCTGGAGGACACAAAGCCATGTGGAGGAGAGACACGTGATCTGCAGGAAAGACTCTACCACAGTGGTTCAGCGCAGGTTCACCAAAAAGACTGTTCACCTGGAATGGACCGTGAACCCCCCAGGAACTGTGGCACAAGCAGAAGTCCACCAGGGTGAAATGCGGCTTTGTATTCTGACATATGCCCCTTGAAAACCTGGAGCCTGGTAGAGTTGGGGAGGAAAGCAAGTTTTCTATTAGCAGAGGAGCATCTTCCATAGCTGCTAGAAGGATCAGTTAAAAGCGTCAGTCTGATGGCTTCTCTCAGGCTTTTTGAACCTCAGCTGCTTCCCCTGCCCTTTGCCTTTAACCCACCAGTGGGGCCCTGCATGAGGGGTACAGGGAGCTGGTGCGTGCACAGCATCCTTTGTATACCTGGAGGCGGGTGTGCTCTCTGGCAGTAGCCTTCCTCCTGGAATTGTTCTCCTTACCAAGATGTTTCTGCCAGAATTAGAGGAGGGCCAGTGAGTGCTTGTGAAGGAAGCTGGCAGTAACTTCCAGCAAAACTTGCCGCACTTTGGCTTCTCAGACGGATGATGTGATCAGATGCAAATACCAAATGGAAAGAGATTTTGCCTAGAGGGTTTTCAAGAGGGCTGATGCACCTGAAAACCTTGCGTGAATGCAGTGTGCCCTTCCATTCCATAACAATAACCATCGAAGGGACAACTTAATTAACTCACGTGGACATTTCTAATTATGGAAGAAAATACTGCCTCCCCTCACCGGGTAAAACCATCACTGAAATAAAAGCTAATAGCAGGCAACACTCTGTTCTCAAAGAGCAGGTTCATTATATCATTGTAGCATTTCCCATTTTCAACATACTCACATTGATTGACTGAAGCTTAAAAATAGTAAGAGTATATTGTTGATCTTGGATTTCTTTGAATGCTGAAAAACATGCTGCCTTTAAAATCAAATTTTACCAAACTTGGCAAACAACAAACAGTAGGAAAACAAAAGAATAAATGTAGATTTTCCTCCTCCTATCTACTAGAGGACCCTGCCTCCACTTCCATCAAACAAGGGAAGAAAATGCTCTGCATGAGGTCACTGTTAACTGAGCCGGCACAGGGAGGCTCAGCAGGTGAGCTGGCTTGGTGGGAGGTAGTGGTTCTGAATCCCAGCTCCTTTGCAGTGGCCTTGGGACCTGGGGCAAGTGACCCTCTGTGAGTTTTAGTTTCCTGAAGTGCACAATAGGGCCTTGAGAGCTTCAGGATCTTGGACATGGTAAGGCTCGGTGCTCACTGGCTCCTCCTCCCTTCCTGTTGCCTTTTCTCTCTGGGTTTTGAGAGGACATGAACCAGGACCGCAGTGCCAAGCTCATGGCTCTTGGCACATTTTATTGAACACTACTTATGAGGTTAACAGACCAGGAAATCTCAATGATGGCCCCAAGGGCTGCTAGTTTTTTTTTTTGTTTTTTAAGACAGGGTCTCCCTGTGTTGCCCAAACTGGAATGTAATGGCACAATCATAGCTCACTGCAGCCTCAAAATCCTTGGCTCAAGCAGTCTTCCCACCTTAGCATCCCAAAGTATTGAGATTACAGGTGTGCGCCACCGCACCCATCTTTTTCTTTTATAGTCATTATGACTTAAAATGGTCAACTTTAAGTACCTTGCTGCAGTATCACAGCCCAGTATTTTTCTGCTCATGTTTTTCTCCATGTCTCCATGGCTCAGGTTTTGTGGAGGAGTGACAGTTGTGTGTACTGGTGTGTGTGTAATTGCCCTCACACATGTGTTTAAGGTTAAGTTGCATTCACCATTCACCAGTGTTACGGAGAGACACTTCCTGTCTTTTTGCTCCCACTGCATCTTCGTCTCTGTCTCCCTCAGTGCAGCTGGGACCAGAGCTGGATGTGGCAGCAGTGTGCTTCTTGAGCACTTACATGGAACAAAAAAGAAAGAGAACGGAGCTTGTGCTGTGCTAGGCTAATTGCCTTATTATTGATTCAGCTGTATAAGTGAAATGGATTGTTTAAACATTTTTGGTTTTGTGATTGTTTTATTTCAGGTTTTATTAAGCTGGGCAGCAGATCATTGATTGCACAGGATTCGGACGCACTTCATTTGCGTCTACCAGGGTAGCTTTTCTGAATGTAAATCTTGTCCTTCTGGTTGCCTATTATCCATCCTTCCAAAGTTCAACAGACTTGATTAAATTCAGAACTGCTCTGCCTTGAGAGTGGCACCATCAGCTATGCAGCACATTTTCTTGTGGCTGGGGTGACTCTCAGAGGCGACAGTATTGCCTTACTACTTTCTCAAGAACCAGAATGTTTGAAAGGTAGTCTGTAGCTATAGAATGAAGTGGGAAGTACATTTTAGATTTTTTTCCCCCTTAAAATATATAGCATATCTGAAAGTGAGGAATATATTGTAGGTGATTATCTCACTTGCAGATTTGCCTGTGAACTTGGCCATCAGGAATCATAGATATGGCCTAGAACAGCATTCACAGGTCAAAAAAATAACACTTAGAGTAAGTGGGATATACATGACTGTAAAAAGAGGTTGAATTGTTCTACCTTCTCTGTCACCTGTTAATATTATGCCATGTGATTCCAGTAGTGAACCAGTTCTTTGCTCTCCTCTGAAAATGTGGGAGGAGCTACCTTAGTATTCACATTTCGGTTTAGCCATCCGATCAAGGTTGTTTTACAGATTGATTCCACTGTATTTGTCCTGAATTACATGTTCTTTCTTTTTCATGTTCGATGTATAACCTTTGAAAATCTTAGTTTCTTTATGTGCTTTCTCCTTGTCATACTCTGAGATAATTTCTGATTATGTAGCTATGTTTTCAGTGTTGATTCTTTTAAATCTAAAGCTCCCTCTTTAGTGAGGATGGTGGCCTTATTAAAGTCTCTGCAGATGACTGCCTTGCTCCAGTCCCGTCGCAGCCTAGTGCTGCTGTTCTCACTTGTGGTCAGGTTGTCCATGTGTCTCTCTCGTGCGTACACCTGCCCATTCTTTCTTGCTGGATGGGCAGAACTCAGCCCAGGGAGGCCGTGGCCCTCCATGTTTCCTGTGTCTGGACAGAAGCTGTACCGTGCTTGAAATTAGTTGTAATTTTACTGTAAAACAGATCTGTATATATAATCTCAATGTTGGATCCTGCACAGTTACTCTACTGTAACCCAAATTCATACTCGTATTTTTAAACTCTCATGGGGAAATCATGAATGCAGAAATATGAGTTGGATTCTTTCTGATTTTTTTTTCCTCCTGTTTTAACTATTCCTCTCTTTGGTTTCTCCTTTTCTGTGTTTTTGAGTTGGGGAAGATGTGGACCTATGTGTGAGTTCTTGGTTTAAAAGAAAATTGGAAGCAGTATCTTCCTCCCTAACGGGAAGAAGTGGTGTTTTGTGTTTTTGTACAAGGCCGTTTCTGCATACTTGTGCTTGAGTGTTGTAGAGGAAGTGGGCTTGGGGGTATGTCAGTGTCCCCACCACCCGTCGCACCTCAGAGTTGCTGATCCCTGAGGCAGCACAGCTGTAACATGTTGCTGTGATGACACGGCCCTTTCCCTCTTCCAGGGGTGGGAGAATCTCAGCTTTCTCCCTGCATTTGCAATTTGTTGGAATTATCTTTTCTCAGTTTATTTGTTCCAGACCATATAGAGTTCGTAAAGATTCTGAACCGAGGATAATGTTTATAGGAAAGGAATTTTAATTAGAAATGATTTTATTCATTAATTCTTCATTCAGTAAACATTTATTGAGAATCCGGTTGTGGGGTTGGGGCAGCACCTTAGTATTCCTGTACTGGGTTAGCTTCTGACCAGGGTTTTCTCTTAGGCTCTGAGGATTCTGCAGTGAACAAGAAAGACGATCCTCAGAAATTACATTCCAATGTGGGAGGAGGGAAGGAACAGAAGATAAGCAAAATAAGTACTGTAATCTTACCTTCTGTGTCTGTAGCCTCAGCTGTGTAGAATGCCAGGGACATGTGAGGTTGTGAGCCAAGCCTGTCCTTAATTGTGTGCACTGAGACTCTTGACCAGTGCTCCCAGGCCTGGCCATGTGTCTTTTTCACCGAGTCCTTCCCCTGTCAGGGAACCAAGGCTCTTTCTTTACCACAGTGGATCCTTTAGGCTCCTCTTTGCATTCATTTCTAAAGAAGGAGAGAGCATCCTTTCTCTGCCCTTAATTGATTCAGAGCAGAAAATGGAAGGGAGAGTAGTGAGGGGCAGGTAGGCAGGGGACCGAAAGACCAAACCTGAGAAGCAGAAGCTACTTCCATCAACCTGAGGACCTCAAGGCTCAGCCACAGAAAACAAATTCTGCTTAGCACGTGGAGGGAAACCCATCATATTTTGTAAAAAAAGCATATTTTAACTGATGATTAAAATGAAGCTTTAGTTCAGAAGAGGGTAGAAATAGATGGCAGTCTGTTGAGATGGAGTCTTAGTTGAACTGGAGTGATGCAGGTGCACCGTGAGAGGCAGAGCTGAGGGTCAGGAGGCTCCTGGGCAGTGCTGCTGTCTGAGAAGCCACGGAATCACTTCCAAAGGTGTAGACCATGCTTGTCCAGCCCGCAGCCTGTGGGCCGCGTGTGTCCCAAGAGTGCAGCCCAACACAGATTTGTAAACCTTCTTAAAACATTATGACCTTTTTTTGCATTTTTTGTTTTGTTTTGTTTTTGGCTCCTCAGCTATTGTTTGTGTTATTGTATTTTATGTGTGGTCCAAGAAAATTCTTTTTCTTCCAGCGTGGTCCAAGGAAACCAAAAGGTTGGATACCCCTTATGTAGACGAACGAAGTGACGCTTCTTTCTAGGCATGATGACACTGTTTTGACAGGGCTGCACTGTGTTTCGACAAGGTTTTATAAGAGTATAAACAAAGGAAGTAGTACGGTAGAGGATGCAGAGTTTCTCAGAACTCCTCCCAGGCTAGAACTCCTCCTGCACCAGCCCAGCCCCCGTAGAGCATGCTCTCATCACACCGTCATGACTTGCTTGGAGGTTGAGGAATGGGTAGATAATTAATATACCTGTTACTTAATCAGACGTGCATGGGATGAGCACTTGCTTGGTGCTCTCCTTGTATTGGATACTTGGAGGGAATACTTCATACCAGGATTAACAAGTATAGCTAACTGATCTTCCAGTCTGCCAGTCTGGTTAATTAAAAGGAAGAAAAAAATAAATCAAAAAGGATTACTGGCTGAGGTAGATATAAATGCAGCCTAAAACAACATCTGACAGCCTGAAAATAAGATACAAAAGCTATGAAGACCTCCACTGCATGCCAGTGGAACAGCAAAGGATGTTAACAGCATCTGTGGATGCCAGAGGTGATTTCCTGGGTGAAGTAGCATTGTGTCATGAGAAAGAACAGCCTTGGTTTCAGGTAGAGCTCCTTGACATCCCTGGCCTAGCGTCTCCCTGCCACTGGGCAGCTGTGTGAACTTAGGAGTGTTCTTCAATATCTCTGAGCCTCTTAAAAAATATCTCTCTTTGTCTGTCTATCTAGTATATATCAATACAGTTTATTAAGAATCAACTCAGTGTAGGTATTGCATGCCCCATGCCCCCCAGCGTCCCACCTTATTGAAACAGTGTTATATTACCTAGGACAAAGCATCACTTCATTAATCTACACCAGGACTATCCAGTCTTTTGGCTTCCCTGGGACACATTGGAAGAAGAAGAATTGTATGTACACACACACACACACACACACACGCACGCACGCACACACACTAAGGATAATTATTAGAAATTTCAAGGTTTTGTGGGAAATTGGAATTCATGTAGGTGAAATGCCTAGATATAGTGCCTGGCACCTAACATTCACTTGGTAACCATCAAGCTACTGTTATTATAAATATGATTTGAACAAATGGAAGAGAAAAAAGAAAATACATTTAGCAGGAGCTCGGAGGAAATAATCAGCATGAAATGTTTGTGGAACATATTTAATGTGTTATCCATTCTGTTGCATAAGGTTTTCTAAAGTGTCCTGAATGTGGCAGCACAGTACCTAGGACATAGCACAGTATCTTAGTACTCCTCACTCAGTTATTTCTTTCTTGCGCTAGCTCAGATTCTCTTGTTTTATTTGTTAGACATTTATAGAGCAGGCATGATAAGTGATGCCCCATGCCGTGCACTGTACTGTGTCTGAGATGAACAGGATAAAGTATTTGTAATCAAAGGAACTTGTACGTGGAGGTTGGGCTCAGGCACCCACTTACCATAAACTGAGGAAGGGATGTGGGGAGTGGGGAGCCATGGGCAGGAATAGGAGGGACTGAGCCGGCTTGAAATAGGAGACAATGGTATGGACAGCTCCCAGGCCCACCAGTGGCCTGGCAGAACGATGACACTTTCTATATCCTGTGCCTGAGGCTTGGTTATGTTAAAGAAAAAATTATTCCATGACTCTTCGTTAAAGCACAGTAAGGCAAACTTGACTAAGGACCATCTCGATGGGTAGAAGGACTACAGCCATGGGGTTTTGTGATAGGGGAAAGAGATTAGGTTCAAGTCTGAATACAGCATGGACCAGTAGGAATTTATAGCTAAGGAGCAAGGGATATGGTCAGCGAATGGAAAATTACTAAGAGGAAACATCAGGAGTAAGGAGAATTCTGGCTAAATTGACTCGACAGGATTCTTGCTGAAGGCAGGCCGGGAGGGTCCTCTGAGGGTGGTCGAGGACAAGGAGCTTGATTAGACATTGAGGGTCAGGGGTTCTTGCTTATCTGACTTAGCAGGGTTCTTTGCTAAAAGTGGAGGTTATAAGGAAGTACATAGATGGGTCAAGGAGAAGGTTCAGAGCCTGACTGAAGCTTGGTTAAACAAAGGCTATCTTTAGAGTTATCCCCCAGCATCTCGGGGATCTTTTTCCAGGGTACTTGGAACCACCTGCTGAGTGTTTGCACCCCAGGTCTCTTTTGCTGCCCTTTTTCTAGTGTTCATGGCTTCTGTGTGTATTACTCATGGCAAAGTATGAGCGCTTGATTTCTGAGTGGTTTTAAAGTGAAATGTCTGATTTGCTCCTGAGATATCCCAATGTTAGCATCTTCTCTTGTCCCTGATGTTATTCAGTCCAGCCTGCATACATAAGTGCATAAGTACATCTCTCTGCGGATTTTCTGTGGACTGGATTTTCTGTCTGTCTTCCCACCCCGCACATCCCACTCTTTGCCCCTCCTCTTAGTATAGTTACATTCCAGGCTCCCAGGCTCCTCCCATCTCCAGGCATTTGCTTCAGTGGTGGCCGCAGTCTGAGACAGTACTGAAGTTTGATCCTGACTCTAGAAAATCAAGTCTTTACATCTCAGCCATAAACCTCTGGAAGTGAATTAAATAGGAGTTTTGATGATTAAATGTGAATATTACCACAAAGTAATAAAATGGATGTTTTTCACTAAGATAACACTGTGACACCTTTGCATCCAGAGAAGGAGTGTTTCTTCAAAGCAGTCGTGTTAGGTGGAGCTCATTTTGATGCCTCTTTAGGACTGGCAGGAGTGCTGGCTCACCAGTGGCAGAAGGACCCCAATCTCACAACTGGACAGTGTGCCCGTTCCGTGTCTCCCGCGTTTTGCTCCTTGAGATTTCCTGCACTTAGCATCTCTGCATCTCCACCCTCATCTCATCCTTCTGCTGTTGCTTTGCCATTATGATCTGAGAAGATCCTCTCAGGAAACCACAGTGAACTAGCTAGATGGTGAGACCATGCTGAGGCTGGAACCCAGAGCCTTACTCTGAACCTAACAGGAAGCAGATGAACTTTCAGAAACACAGAGGTCCTCTCTCCCTGGACCTGGCTATTTGCACTCACTGCTGCTGTAGCTGCTCTCTGTGACAGCTTCTCAGAGTGTGCGGGTGGAGGGGTCATTCTGGAACAGAAGAGCTGGTGCTGAATTGGAAAGCTGCCCACCACACCAGGTCTGAAACACCAGCCGTCCCTCTACCTGCAGCCTGCAAAAGTCATGTCCCAGATCTTGGTGTGGGTGCTGTCCCTGTCAGGAGGGCTCCTTCCATTGAGCGCCTCTGCAGAACACACTGCTGTGCCATGAGAAAGGCAGAGCAGAGGACAGTGGCATCTTGGCATCCCCAGCATTGTATTGTGTAGCAGCTGTATTAGGGCTTTGAGATATTTGGGGTGATGGTTGCAGCAGCACTTTTGGAATGTATAACCTGCGGTAAATGGGGGTTCTATATACTGAAAGTGAAGGTGTGTCTCCTTGGCACTGCCTTTTGGCAGATGGAAGTTCCTGATCTTCATGGCTTCTAAATGACTTCTTTCACTAGAGGGATTTGAGCTAGGATTTTGCAATCAGATGTTATCAATGTGGAACCACATGTGCTAGAGTCTGACTTTGTATGATTTATGTTATCTGGTTCTCTTTATTCATCTGAAAAATAGGGTTAGTAATGTATATTTCAGAGAGTGTCTGTGAGGATTAAATAAACATGTTGCATGCCTGGCGCATGGTAGATGCTTAGTAAACATTAGTTTCTTCCTTGTGCTCTTGGTTACCATACAGTTAACTTTCAGAAAGCATCTGTTACCTTGGTAACAGTGGACATAAAATATGCTGACTCAGGTGATCAGGAGTATATGGAGATTGCAGAGTGAATGCATATAGGTATGTAAGTTACTGAATGTTACAGAAGGAAGAGTCAAGGATGTTTTGGTGACTGAACTCTAAAGCAGCATAAGCTTGTTGAATGTAATAAATAGGGAAACCCTGGAAGCACCAGGTTTAAAAAGAAAAGAGTTAAGCTAGGAAATTAAAATTTGATGACAAATGACATCATATACTAACACCTCAGGAAACAACTGTCAGGCAGAACTTGAAAAAAAGATTTGTGGAAATGGTTTTAAAACTCATTAAATTTGGCAGCATATCCTCAACTTGGAGAGAAAGGAAGAGGCAAAGGAATCAATGGCTCTGACAGTAATTTATGGATGTAGGCAAATGATAAATACTTCCAGAGCTTGAAATTTACACCATCATTGGCTTGAAAGTAACCACTTGTTAACTGGATTTGGGAAGTAAGTTTATGACAATGACCTCCTCCCTACTCATCAACAAGGAGGCTACATTGTGGAAGGTCCTTCCTGGCCACCAGCATTAAAGCTTCAGAGCAAACAGTGGGCAGAGAAGGCACAGGAAGCTGCTGCCTCTAGAGCTAGAGATGGTAACAGACTGTCTTTACCTTTTCCTTGAGCCGGGAGGAGAAGGTTCTAGGAGATGGGAAAGAGGAGCAGTGTCAGGCATTTGCCACAGCCTCAGTGGGTATGGCTTAACTGGATTGACAGGCTGTGGTTTTCCCACAGATAGGTTAAACCCAGCAGCATATCCACCCCCGAACTTGGTCTTCCTAGCTCCCTCCTCTGTGCCTTAGCGTGGCGAATGGCTCCATTGTCATCCACTGCTTGTCACCCTCATCTGCCTGCTTCCTTGTCCTTGTGGTCCAGCTTTCATTGCTTACCAAGTGCATCCTGTCTTCTCTAGATCTTCAAATCCATCTACTTTTTCCAGCCCCCTTCCCACCTGGATGATGGCCACAGCTCCCAACTGACAACTTTTTCTCCTTTGGCTCATTTTTCCACCAGCGTGAGGTCATAATGGTCTTTTTAAAGTGTGTATTTGGTCTGGTCACTCCACTCCTTCAGTAACTGGTTCCCTGGGGGTTAAAATCCAGATTCTGTGCTTTTTTTTAAATTTTCCATTGTATCTTTGGTATGCTCTGCCTCTCATATCCTTCCCCTACTTCCTGTTAGCCTGGGTAACTAACCCATTCTTCCTGGAAGCACCTACCCGGAGCAAAAGCCTCTGACTTGTTTGTCTCATGCCCCCACCCCCAGCCTTTAACCCTGGTGGCCACAGGGCCTCACCATCCTCTTTCTCTTATGCAATACCTAAACCAAGTTGATTCTTCATAAATAATTTGTTGAATGTTTAATGGAGTAATGATAGTGGACTCAAATGCCTCCTTTCTAGCTTTCAGGGTGTCATTTCATATACTTTTCAGCTGTCTGTAACAGCAGATTTCATCAATATTGCCCCATAATTAAATGACCTAGTCATTTGCTGGATATTAAAATATCAGCAATCCAAGTGGTATTTTTTCTGTTCCAATGATAGCACTAATTCATGCCTTTCAGGAGAGGCTGGTTGCTAGGAGATTCTTTCTGTGAGTTCCTCTGCATTTGAGTTAATAGTTGGTCCTTGCCAGCTTTTCCTTTTCTCTCCTTAAGTTGTTGAGAAGTATTTCATTTGATCATTTTATGTTCCTTTTGTTATTCAGCTTATTTGCTAATTACTGTTGAACATTTGGACTTTATGCATGGTAGGGCCAGTACTGCCTGTGTCCTAAGGTGGTACTGATTCCACTGACTGATGGCCCCGCCCCCAGCCTTCGTGTTGGAGTCTGAACGCCGCTGGCTTTAACTGGTATTGTCGCTCTGGGACTCAGTGAGATCGGCATGTTTATTTCTCTGATACATGATTTTTCTCTTCTCCTTTCTCTGAATTTAAACTTGTCACTTCACCTTCACATTTTCTTTTAATGAATGTCCTTGTAAACATAAACACCAGCAGTCAAATTTGAACTGGTGAAATGTCGTCAGTGACTTGTCCCTCTGTCCTCAGGAAAAGTATAACTTCTTGTTCTGACACCCAGGGCTTTCCACAGTCTGGCCTGAATCCCCCTTGCGTGCTTTCCTTACCCACAGCATTTCTTCCTCGACTCCCTAGTTTTGCATGTTTACTGGCTGTCCCCTGATAAGCTTTTCTCTGTCTGTTATGTGCCTTGGCCTGTCCTCTTCCTTCTAGCTGAGATGCATTCCCTCTGAGTAGTCCTCCAAATAGAATAAAAATCCAGCTCTCTGTGAGGCCTGCTGAAATCTCTCTTGCCTATTCTGTGCAGTCATCTCTCATCCACCAGTCAGACTTGGAGCACTGCCAGCACCACCCATCATTGCTGTCTGTGTGATCCTTACTGCATTCTGCCTTTCCTCAGGATTACTTGGCCGGGCGGGGGAAGGGACAGGGGTGAGGAGCGGAGGGGGAGGTGGGGACAGAGAGAGAGGCAGGGGCGGGGGGAGCGGAGAGAGAGGCAAGGGCAGGGGGGAGAGAGAGAGAGAGAGAGGAGAGAAAGAAAGAGGAATGAGAATGTTTGCTGTGGAAAGAAGCTCCTTGAGGGTGAGGACTGGATCTGAAATATCTCTGCAGTCCATTCAGTTCCATTCCTTGGTGGTGTAAGGAAGACATTTGAACTGATTTACTGGCTCCTTTCTGTAGTCAGCACTCATTTTGGGGGTTTGGGGGACACTCATTCAAACCAGTGGTTATAGGGACATAAGAAGTACACAGGCATGTACTACTAGGCTTGGTGGGAGTGAGCCTAGGAAAGTCAGGAAGGCTTCCAGGGCTTAGGAGTTTGCTTGACACTTGAGGTGGGAGCAGGAGCAGACCAGATGGCCCCCACTAGAGAGGATATTCAGGGCAGAGGGGATGGCCTGGTCAAGCCTGGGAAAAACTGAAAGAAGATTGTGTGGTGACAAAGTTGCTAGAGCAGAAAGGTGCGGTTAAGAGATTTGGGAAACAAGGCCAGACTGGAGGAGCAGGTAGCTCCGTAGGGGTGATGATCAGGCTTCGATGCTATCGAGAGCTTGTGAGTCTGAGTCAGAGAGAGTGCTTGGGTGTGTCCGCCCGTGCCCATGCTTCTGTCAGGCCTCACACAGAAGGGAACAGGCACTAGCATTTATCCTATTGCTCCTGCTGTCTCCTACCCTCACGTGGACTTTTCATAACCCTCTTTATGGTTTTCCTCACCTGATCTCTGGTAAATGTGGCAGTAAGCAGTCACATGCTCAAAAGGGAGCAGTGTTAGGGTGAAGCGAGGTTTCTGGCAAAGCCACATCTAAAATTTAAGGTTTTGTTTTGTTGTATTTTTTAAGTAGAGACAGGGTCTCATTCTGTCACCCAGGCTGGAATGTAGTGGCACAGTCATAGCCAACTGCATTCTTGAACTCATGGGCTTAAGCCATCCTCCTGCCCCAGCCTCTCTAGTAGCTGGGACTAGAGGCCTGCAGTAGCATGCCCCGCTAATTGAGTTTTAAGTTTTAAAATAAAGGCAAATAGTTTGTAATGTGAACTGCGATAAGACAAGGTGATAATCTTTAAACTTTGCAACAGGATTGATAATTCTGTGAGCAGGGGCCATACCTGTTGTGTTCACTGCTGTGTGACCAGGTCAGCATGCAGCCCATGGCTTGACACAGGGCAGGGTATGTATAGGTGTGAATAATTGTATGTGAATAATATGTGAGTAGAATATATTTCTATACATGTATAGATATATTCTGGCCTGTTTATAAAACTTTATAATTTTCTATATAAGGTCTTTCCACATCTTTTGTTAGATTTAATGACATTTTGTTTGTATTGCTTAATAAATGGAATATTTTTTATTGTCATTATATATTTGCTATTTTTTTTTTTATTGCTCTGGGCCATAGTGTTTCTCAGTGCATACCCAGTTGGCCTCGGGAGGTACAGTTTCTATTGTGTGGGACACTGGTGTAAACAAGTAGCAGCTACTTGACATGTGACAACTCCACATATTGCTGAACACTCCTAGTGTGAAGAGGATGGCATTACTCCTTTAATTGAGCACTGTTGCTGAGATAAAGGAATGAAACTGATTTCTGTATGTCAGTTTGTGTCTAGCACCAATAGATTTTTAAACCATCTTGTATTTTTTGTGTAGAGGATTATATGCAAATAACAATTTTGTTTCTTTCCAGTTCAATAAATTCATTATATGCTATGTTATCTTGTCCTTTCCCATTGACTGGGCCCCCCTGTACAATGTTGACGGTAGATGGATCCCAGTTTCATTCCTGACTTGAGAATGTGTCTGATGTTTCACTGTTAAGTATGCAGATTGCTTAAGTTTTTGGCAGAGAGCCTTTATCAGATTAAGGAGGTTTGCTGAGTTTTTATCCTGAATGGTTATGGAATGTAGATCCCCTCTTAGTTGGACTTAGTTCATTCTATACAATGTAACTCTGTTTCTCTGTGCTCCATTGTAAGTGATTTCCTCATATCTATTTTTCAGTCACCAATTCTATATTCAAGAATATCTAATCTGCAGTTTAACTCATCTATTGAATTTTAGCTTTCATTGACCAGCTTAGTCATTTGGGTTGCTGTAACAAAACATTATAGACTGAGTAGCTTATAAGCCGTAGAAGTGTATTCCTTACAGTTCAGGAAGCTGGTAGGTTCAAGATCAAGGTGCTGGCAGACTTGGTATTTGGTAAGGATCTGCTTCCTGGTCCATCTTCTTTTTGGTGTAACCTCACATGGCAGAAGGGGCAAGGAAGCTCTCTGGGGCCTCTTTCATAGCGGTGCTAATCCTATTCGTGAGGGCAAAGCCCCTCCCAGAGGTCCTACCTCCAAATGTTGTCTCACTGGGGACTAGGATTTAGCATATGAATTTTGGTCTGTAGTGATTGTGTTTGCATGCATGTATAGATGTGTGTATATATATGTGTGTGTCTATATATGAATGCTGCAAACATGGTTCTTTTTTAAAACTCCATTCTATTTTTTCAGAGTATCTTTTCCCCCTTATTTAAAAATTTCTTTTGTTTTTCACCACTGTGCACACACGTATTCTATGGTCTTCATTTAGTTTTATTATCTCAAGTTTTTGAGGGCCTGATCTTGATATTTGTTGAGTTTCTTGAATCTTGCTCAAGAGGCAAGAGACTATTTCTTCCTCCTCTGTCTTGCCATTTTAGAATGTGAGCCTGACATTAGAGGACATGATCTGTTGGAATTCTGGGAGACAGCCTGCTTCAGAGTGGTTTATAATTTGGCCAGTTTGGTGTGAACTTTTTCTCTAGGAGTTTTTTGGGCTACATGTATAAAATAGAATGTCAAAAACCTCATTCAAGATACAGACAGACTGATAGTTAACAGTTGCTGGGAGGCTGGGCAAAGCTTTCCCTCTGCAAAGCCCAGCCTCCTTTTCATTTGGGTGCATAGATACTTTCTTAATTCAGGTTTTTGCTAAGATCATAGCCCTCTGAGGGTTCTAGCTGTATGTAAAAGTGTCCGTTCCAACTCCTGTGTTATATATCCTGTCCTACAGGAATGTTAAAATAATAGTGTCTTCAAACCAAGACACTTCTGAGAGTAAAGGGAGTTAGAATTCTTAATTATGCCAGATCACAGCTGTGAACCAGCATGTGTGTCACCTTAGTCAAAACCCAAGACCAACTCACAGCTGGATAGCCCCTGCCCTGCTGCAGACTTCAGTTCTCTCGATTCGGCCTTAGGCCATTTGCCTTGCTTTCTTGCCATACTCTTATAGGCATTTAAAAGACTGTATTATATTTTAACTCACGTTTTGAAGTGAACGTAGCATAAGAGCTTTTAGGTTATTTGGTCTGTGTGTTGGAAGAATAATCTGTCTTTACTTTTAACATTAGCATCTTTATCTCCTTGGTTAATCTTGATATATAGAATATTAGATACATTAGGATAGAAAATTA